AGTAGTACTTGTAGTAGTAGTAGTCGTTGTTGTGGTAGTAGTAGTAGTAGTAGTAGTAGTTCCAGTAGCAGCAGTAGAATTAGAAGCAGTAGCAGTAGCAGGAGTAGCAGCAGCAGCAGCAGCAGCAGCAGTAGCAATCGTAGTTGTAGTTGTAGCTCCAGTTGCAGTAGTAGCAGTGTAGTAGTCGTAGTAGCAGTAGCAGTAGCAGTAGCAGTAGTAGCAGTAGTAGCAGTAGTAGTAGTAGTAGTAGTAGTAGTAGTAGCCGTTGTTGTGGTAGTAGTAGTAGTAGTAGTAGTAGTAGTAGTAGTAGTAGTAGTGGTAGTAGTAGTAGTAGCAGCAGCAGCAGCAGCAGCAGTAGCAATCGCAGTTGTAGTTGTAGCTCCAGTTGCAGTAGTAGCAGAGTAGTAGTAGTAGGCGTCGTCGTTGTCGTCGTGGCAGCAGTAGCAGCAGCAGCAGCAGCTGTAGCAGCAGGAGGAGGAGGAGGAGGTGGAGGAGTAGTAGTAGTAGTAGTAGTATTTGTAGTAGTAGTCGTTGTTGTGGTGGCAGTAGTAGTAGTAGTAGTAGTAGTAGTAGTACGCTGGGTCTGTGGTGGTTTGTTTGCGGTTTCTTGCAGCGACTCTGCCTGGGACCCCAGGGGCGGCGCTTAGGTCCGCGGTTTTCTGGGCTGATGCGGGCAGGGGCAGGGAAGGGCTCACCACAGAACGACAGCGCCGTCGCCTGCGAACTCCCACCACCACCACCACCACGAAGACGACGACTACTACTGCTGCTGCTGCTACTGCTGCTACGGCTGCTAGTAGTGGTGGTGGTAGTAGTAGTAGTAGTAGTAGTAGTTGCTGTAGTAGTAGTAGTAGCTGTAGTAGTAGTCGTCGTCGTGGTGGTAGTAGTAGTAGTAGTAGCAGCAGCAGCAGCAGCAGTAGCAATCGTAGTTGTAGTTGTAGCTCCAGTTGCAGTAGTAGCAGAGTAGTAGTAGTAGTCGTCGTCGTCGTCGTTGTCGTCGTGGCAGCAGTAGTAGTAGTAGTAGTAGTAGTATTCATTCCGCACGCAGTGGGAAGTCCTCCACCTAGCGAGAGGCACGGACTTATGCCGGTGTTCTCTGGGAACACTACACCGTGCTCGAGAGCAGCAGTGCATGCAAAAGCTTGATAAACAAATTAACACTAAACTGGTGTCACCTTCGAGTCAATCCATCCATAAGTGTTTGTTGAATGCAGCACGATAAGGTGCATGCTCAAGAGCTGAAAAAGCTTTGCCAATCTCAGGAGTCGCTCTCCTGGCATTCACATTTGCGCAATGCTATGAGCAGAACACTCGTAGCATTTGGAAGTGGCGATGTGAAAGCACGTAGTGTGTTGCTATGATCATCTCTTTTGCAGCGATGCATTGTCCGGTAAACACCAGCAGCGCTTGCAGCAGCTTCACAGGTCACAGTGGACCTGACCTGGTAATGGACAAGAAAGGTTTCGCTAGTGTTGTGTGCAGCAACTGGCAATGCAATATCAGCCTCAAGATCAGTAAAGAGTTGTGGATGCCCAGCATCAAAGCCCCTGCGACAATGCTTCAGCACAAGAAAGATGGTTTCAGCTGGTCGTAGGAGGCAAAGCCTGCTGGACGTGGCACCCCAAGCATCCACACATTCCTGCAGAGTGCAGTATGTCAGTGGCATGTTGATCTGCAGACACATGCAGGAGTCAGGAAGTTTGGCATGTGCACCCACCTCATCCGTAGCAAAGGGATGAGTGCCCCATTCCCCTGAGTGAGCATCGGATTTGTGTGATGTCAAGAAGAGCTTTAGTATGGTATCAAGCGCTGGCTTTGGCATGTTTTGCAACTTTCGAACTATTGCAGTCCACTGGATTTTCCGGCCTAAGGAGACCATAGTACGGGGTTTTTGCAGGCTCTGAATCCAGAGCTGTCGGTACATCCCAAGGGTTAGATGCTGTCTCTGGGTATCGCACCAAAACGGCCAAAGAAGGCACTGCATAACAGCTTGTACACCTGCAGGGACATCTTGGATCTGAACGGGAAAAACTTCCTGCGAGTAGTGATCAAGGTGCGTTTGCACAGCATCATGTGGCAGGTTGGGATGCAAGCCGGTCTGTGTAGGCATTGGGCCTGCAGTCACCAGCGTAGCATCTGTGCCTGGTAGGACAGGCCCCCCCTCTCCTTTCGAAGTCGACATCCCATGGTATGCAAAGCCGCCGAGCCGATCCACCCCTGCAGAATGTCCCAGACCTGCTCCCCTTGATTCCGAAGCGACACTTCGATCGCTAATTTCACCCAGGAGGTCTGATGATCTTTGCGAAGCCCGTAGATCGACTGGAATCTGTAGAGATTCTCTGCATTGATGGTCTTCCGGAGTTCGTTGGCCTCCAGGATCAGTCGCTCCGTCGGCTTGGTGGGTGCATCCGGCACCTCCTGCAGTTTCTCCAGGACTGGATCCCACTTGAGGGTCTTCCACTCCCCATGATCTGTCAACCAACCCATGGCTTTGGCTGCCTGCATCGTCTCCTCGCTTTTGGCAGTATTGGCCAGTCGATTGCAGAGTTCGATGAGGAAAGCCTTCATCAACACAATCCTGAGTGACGAGTCGATGAGCTGTGGATTCTCCTCTTGAGTCCGATTCCATTTCTCCGACGCAGAGAACAGGATTGGAATCAAGCCTTCGGCCCCCGGCTTGACAAACAAGCACATACTTGTGTCCTGGCGAAGGTTCCCCAATGCATATTCGTGGCGCAGCGTCAGCTGACTCAGGCGCTGCACCGTGACTTGGAGATCTTGGAGATCCACGTCCTGTCCCCAGGATCCTCCCCACCGACGATCCTGGTGATCCTCGGTCTGAGTCCACCCGCTGGAAGTACGCCATGAGGTCGGCCCTCCTTTTCCCTTCCCTTTGCCCTTGCCTTTGCCCTTCCCTTTGCCCTTGGGTGGATTCTGCTTTACCCACGGGCGAACGGCTTCCTCCAGCCTGGCCTTCTTCATCTCTGGCGAGTCCTCTTCTCGCTCCCGTTTGGTCACTGGAGGCACGAGCGATGGACACACCCCACCGAAGAAGTTCTTCTCCTGTGCTGAGAGCTCCATGGGCTCCATGGATGGTTGCCGGTACTTTCGCAGAAAGGCCCAAGAAGCAGCTAACTTGGACAATTAAGCAATTCCTCCAATGAGTATGCTTATTGACGGCCTGTGAGTGGCAGTATCTACAAGGAAGAACCATGTGGCGACGAAAGGGGGTGAGGTGAGGCATGAGACTAGCGAAATTCTGAACCCATTCGTCATGTTGCTGTGTCATATGACGTTTGATGGCCGCTTGGTCCATACACCATTGTCGACAAATCGGGCAGTGATGCTCCAACTCGCTCTGCAATTCTGGACAACGCAGTAAAGCATGCCAGCCAGACTGGATGAGGATGGACCGGATAGACGGCCTGTGGATGAGTGGTAAGGTATCTGCCTGTACCATCGGTGGACAAGCAGATTTGGCAGCCTCAGGGGGAATGGGATCATTGTTGTTAGGGGTTTGGGATGCCTTCTTAGGGTGGTGGGCCGTAGTCGCTGACTGAGTAGTCATCCTGAGGGCTTGGCATTGTTGTTTGATGATGTGCTTCTGCAGGTTGTGCCATTTACGGAACTGATGGCCACAGTGTTTGCAGGTGGGCATGCCGTCAATGCTATGCTGCCAACGGTCAAAAATCTGGGCTTCCGGCAGGGGTTGCGGGGTCCTGGAGTTATGTATTCTGGACTCATGCGATCTGCGAAGGCGGTGTGTCGCGAAGAAACGACCACAGTAGCGGCAGTCAAACACGGCCTCAGAGCCAGTAGAATGTTGATAAGACGATGATGCTTGTTCGGCTGTCAGACAGCCTGCACGCAGGGAATCGCAGACAAACTGCATGTGTCCTTGCAGCGTGTCGCTCACCATGAGTGAGTCTTGCTGGGTTAGCCTATTGACGTTATGTGCAAGCCGATGCATTTCCTTTTCGAGGATTGCACAGATGTCTGGAACATGAGCCCTGGCAAGCACCTCTCGATTACTGACATGGCTAAGATGTGCTGGACATCGGAGGATAGCCCGTAGGTGGCGCATGTAGAGGCTTCGGAGTTGTCTGCCACCTGCATTCGGCAACCCTGTAGCAGCTAAACCGTAGAGTAGTGTGGGAGGGACACTTGAGAACCAGATACGCAGCCGATCCTGCTTAAACAGGCCGTGTCTGGAGCACACTAATTTGCGGAGCCGACTCCATTCTAGCTTGGCAAGACCCATACGATACACCAGTGTTTGCAATTGAGGGTCAGTGTAGCTTATTTTGGTACCAAGATAGGTGTGGGAGTCGACAACCGGAAACTCAAAAAGTTGCCCAGAAGCTGTACGGATGCGAAAGAGTGGTCCATCCGGACCTCGGACAATGTGCTGTCGGAGCCATCGTTTGGCGAAGCCCCCTTTGAACCGGTACAGTATTGCAGATTTCGAGGCATTAATGATCATACCCGATTGGACAAGAAGATCGAGGAACTGACTGAAGAATCGCTCGGCAGTCTGCAAATCTTGGTGGTTATGAGCCGTGGCAGCAGCATGGAAGTCGTCTGCATATGCCGTAACTTGCTGGGAGACCCACCTGACATCGGTGGCAAGGGCCAGTCTGTATAGTAGCCTGCCAGTAACTAGGGACCAAATAAGGGGCGCCACTAAGCACCCCTGCTTCAGGCCTCTGCTTGCAGCAACAGACTCGGTGTGGTCCTGAATAGTAAAGTCATAGTGGATATTCCGGTACCACTCAAGGAGGTGGTCCTTTAATTCACTGGGGACACCCGCATCATCGAGGGCCTCAGCCACGTACACCCATTCTAACACATCAAAAGCCGAGCTTAAGTCCAAGGATAGTTGTAAGCCGCCGGCATGTTGTTTGGGCCGTGGTAGCCCAGCTCGGGCTTCTCGAACTGTCCACCGGTCCGGAGAGCAAAGGTGTATGACGTGTTGGCAGTGTGCTTGCACTCGGGCGGCAGCGTCGAGGGTGCTCCTACCAGGTATGTAAGCCCATTGGGGAATGTCTTCTAAGTACTTTCCTACGTATGGACGCAATCGGTCCTGCAGGACTTTTGTGACCATTCGATTAGAGACCTCGCTGAGACCAATCGGCCTCAAGTGCTTGGGCAGCGTGGGTTTTGCGAGTTTGGGTATCAAGGCTAACCATGCTTTGTGCCAAAGCTCAGGGGTAACCTCCAAATCATTGACAATCTTTGTCAGTCTCGGGACGACCACTCTCGCACAAATCTTCCATGCAGCAAGTGGTGCAAGATGGAGGGGCACTGCCTTGTGGGTAGGCATCAACGATAATGCACGCTCTAGGTGCTCTTCGGTGACCTGTAGTGGCGGCATTTGGGCAGCACGATCTGGTTGTGGCTGCAGACCCGTATACACGGCCTCATAGTGCTGTTTGAGTAGCGCTGCTTGCTCAGCTGGAGTGATGACATGACCCTCAACATCACGCAGTTGGACATGCACCCTACGAGTCTTCGGTGCAAGAGCACGCACACCCTGGTATAGGGCTCGGACATCATGTCGACTGGCATGCTTGTTGAGTTCGTCAAGTCTACCTTGATACCAGCTCTGTCTGGCAATTCTACCTGCCGAGCGGAAGGCACGATGCGCCTTTCGGAATCTGGCATAATGGAACCACACTTTCCAGATGGTAGCAGTAGTACCTCGAGCAGCGGTTTTCCATTGACGATAGTGGGACCACATGTCCTTGACACTGGTGTCAATGGTGGCCAGTTGCCATGGCGCATTTATTTTAGCTCGGGCTCCAGCGGGGGCATGGTCACCTGAGGCTTCCACGAGGCAGTCGTTGATATCCTGTACAGAAGAGCATTTCTCGATGTTCCGTTCAACCTGTTGTAGAATGGCTTGGGCTCTGGGGTCCTCAGGATCTTTCACTAGTTGGAGAAGAGTGGATTTGTCCCATTGGACCTTGGACTGTGTTGGTGCAGGATTCAAGGCAGCAAAACGACGTAGATGCATGACACCACTGATGGGTATGTGTTTGCCTCCTTTGCGCCACTCACCAATCCGAAGTCTATCTCTACCTGTGTGTCTGGCGAGAGAGTCGGCACTATCACTTCTGGTAAAGGCATGATCAATCAGGGTACGCGTGTCACCCCAAATGAAGGTGGGGCCCATTCGTTTCGTCCAAGAGTTAAGATGTATTAAATCATAGTCTTCAAGGAGATGAATGAGACGGGATGCATCAGAAGGCAGACGACTATTCCAATGTGCAACTTTGGGTCCTGCTCTTTCGTGCTGCTGCATCGGCGTGTTAAAGTCTCCTAGGAGCAGGAGAGTGTGCCGAACTGGAAGCTTCGCTAAGGTACTCTCGAGAGCAGTCCACACCTGTTGGCGAATCTCACGAGCAGTGGGCTGTGCAGCGTCATCAGGCTTCTGCGTGGCCTTGAGGTGTCGCTGCCATTGCATGGTCTGCTGGTAAACATTGACACAGTCAAGGGCCCAGCATTTAGTGGTGATTCGAACATGAAGAACCCGACCTGGGAATGGTTCACTAAATGAGATCACAGCGTCACGGGTTAGGGAGCGGTGGATTAGGAGCATCACTCCTGCAGAGCGATTAGCATGACGATGGGACTGGATGACCTGCCAGGCACCGGTAGTGTACTGCTGTGCGGAATCCGAGCTCCAGTGAGTCTCCTGTAGAGCAATGATTTGCGGCTGTGTTTGAGCAGTCATTGCCTCCAGGGCTTTTAGAAGCTCCACATAAAGATCATGGCTCAGACCTCCACAATTGAAGCTGAGAAACCTGACATGCGGACCACTAGGCTGTGGACCTCGGACACGAGCCTGCTTGGCCGATGCATTAGGAACCTGTGGCAAGTACTGCTTTGACAGACTACTGAGAGTGCACCATCTACCCTTATACATTGTTCCCCCTTGTTGTGACTGAGCCGCCCGTGCGATGGCACGCTTGTAGGATCGCTTGCTGATGCGCGATGGCACCTGTGGGGCAAGACTGGATCTATCCATCTGTGTGGTGAGCACCGGGTGTGTAAGGGCCGGGCTGATCTCTCGCAAGAGCAACGTGGAGAAGAGGAGCAGATGTGGCCGTTTAGGCAACCATCTGGTACACGTATTGGGGTAAGGTGGGGCAGGCCCAGTACTGGCCGAGCAGGAGTGCTGCAGCACCGGATACATTCGTGTGTCCAAAGATAGGTGCGCACTGCATGTGGTTGAAGGTAGGGGCTTATGAATCGGAGATGTGTATACAGTCGGGGGATGGACAGGGGGATCAGGGACACGGGTGTCTGCCTGATCCAGTCGCATGCAAGTTGGTGACATGAAACAAGAACGAAAAGAGGTCTTTATCCTCTCAGGCCTTGGCTTTCCGAGCAGGACATAGAGGAATGTCGAGCTCAGTCTCAGAGGTACTTGGCACATACCTCCAACCCTCGGTTCTACCTCGCAATTAAGGATAGCAGATTGCTTGTACAGGTGTCTTAGCAGCTGCAGGATCAATTGTGTGGCGAGGCCCTGGGACTTGGGACCCAGGTGGCTAGTTATGCGTGATGTTGTGCGTGCCATGGGCGGTTGGCGGCATCGTGTGGCACATCTCCTGGCTACTGCATATCTCGGGAGACGGACAGGCAGTTTGACTGCATAGACTTTGCTTCTAGTGCGTAGACCCCAGCAGGATGGACTACGCACAAGTAGCGATGACTTATAGTCAATCCAACGTTTCCAAAGAGCCATGAAACCTGTCCATCTTGGCATCCTGCTCAGTATCTTCACTGTCGGCACACTGGTCCTGGAGTCGAGCGAGGCGCAGCAAGTAGTGGCTGCTCTCCCAAGACAGTTGATCAAGACAGTCCAAGGGACACGCCAGGGACCTATTTTGTTGGACGGGCTCGTGGACAACTCGTGAACCTGTGGATATTGCGATTGCACATAGAGAGGTCCAATGTAGCCGAGCCGAGCGTCGAGCCAATTTAGCTCGCTCAGGAAGTCGCGACATGAGGACTTTGTCGAAGAGGAGCCTACTGTCCAGTGGTCACTGGAGCAGGAGATTGTAGTAATCATGTATCGCCTATATAAGGGCAAAACGGTGGGGGGTAACGGGCTGCAGGGGGAGAGACGCCCTTACGCGAACTTCGTTTTAAGGAAACGGCTAACGCGAACTTCGACGAAGGTCCGGGGGTTCGTGGTGGGTTCGTGGGTTGTTGCGTGTTCTGTAGCAGTGGACAGGTAATGTATGAATTTCTGTCGAAGCGAAGGGCTATGGGTGAAATTTTTGATAGTTGAGACACCTGCCCAAAGTAAGTTCAATGTAAAGGCAGTTGTTGTAAAGGTAACGTATCTCTGGTTCCAACAGATTATCAGATAGAAAGTGTATTTCAAGGGGCCACCAAATGAAGAAGACCATAGAAAACCCCTGCAAGTGCCAGGCAG